ACTTCTTTATCTATTTTCAAGGGGTTTTCTTTTAGATATTGTTAATTACTCTGCATGTTTCACTGTTTAAGATGTATTTTTTGAGTTACTTTAATTACGACTAGGAGCTTTTATTCCGAGCCTTCTAGTGTTGGGCACAGCTAGAATTCAGTGAACATCTTTTTTATATATATATATATATATATATATATATATATATATATATATATATATATATCAATCCAGGGGTTAAATGAGCAGCTCTGAATAGTCTGCCCAAAAACAGCCTTCTGGCAGAAGGCTGTTTTTTGTGCAAATTCTATTCAGAGCTTCTCATTTAAACCTGGATTTGTATATATATATATATATATATGTGTGTGTGTGTGTGTGTGTGTGTGTGTGTGTGTGTGTGTGTGTGTGTGTGTGTGTGTGCAGATATGTAGAAAATAGGAAAGAACACGTTAGGCAAATAATCCGGAGTTCTTTAGTATTTTTGTTTTTATTTAAAAAAAAAAAAAAAAAAACAGTGCTCCATACAGAAGTAGAACTTAAATTATAATTATTTTTTAAAAAATATGACTCCTTCGCTACATAAGAGTTCTCATGTTTCAAAAACGAGAGCCGAAACCCTCAATATAATTATTAAAATTAAATTGAGTTAAGACATCAAGCCCTGTTTCATCCTCAAGCCAAAATTTAGGAATAACCAATCTTGAAAGTTACGCATCTTTATAAGCATGTTCGCTCGCAAAATCAATTACTATGGAAACGACTGGGGCGACCATTTTGATAGGGGTCTGACAGTTAATTTTTATCCACATATCAGTCACCTTCGGAAAGAGGTCAAGGCGACGTAGTGTGGGGTATCCATTTCAAATGTTCGCCCCAGCCGTTTCCATAGTAATTAATTTTACGAGCGAACATGCTTATAAAGATGCGTAAATTTCAAGATTGGTTATTCCTAAATTTTCGCTTGAGGATGAAACAGGGCTTGATAGCTTAATTCAATTTGATTTTAATAATTATATTGAGGGTTTCGGCTCTCGTTTTTGAAACATGAGAACTCTTATGTAGCGAAGGAATCATATTTAAAAAATAATATATATATATATATATATATATATATATATATATATATATATATATACTCTGAAGTGAATGTGGTTGTCCGGTATTGTGGAACACTATTTTGGCTCCTGTGCCGTGGAACTAGTTTTACTTTATTGAATACTTTTGGTTTGTTTTTCAAATTGTACCCACCCAGTGGTATATAGGGTATTCGTCCTATTACAAGTCACTGATAGAAATATCAATATTTAAATTATGCAACAGTCAGTTTTCAATCAGTACCTGAAGATTGCATTGTGCATTAAACTTAGAGTTGAGCAACTTCTGCCGTAAAATATATATATATATATATATATATATATATATATATATATATATATATATATATTATGAAATGGACAAAGTCCGACAATTATTTTAAGACATCTTCGTCCATTTCATAATGTGTGACGTCATTTGTTTACATTTGATACGCCATGAGCAGATATGACTGTACGTGAGAGATTCATAGAAGAATGAAGTTCAAATACAGTAAATTCGACCTTGCTAACCGAACGCGCCTCTGTGGCCAAATCGGTAAAGACACGTCAAGCTAATTGACGGTTCCGTATAGAATACAGGTTCGAATCCTGTCGAAGCACGAATGTTGTTTAATACTGTTTATTATAAACAGAGCGTTTACTTAAATATTTGTATGTAAATAAAGAATGTATAAACATAAAAATGTCTTAAAATCTATATATATGCGTGTGTGTATTGTGTTCCATGAAATATATATATTTTTTTTTTTAAATGTCGACCAGTGTATTTCTGAAGAATAACGCTTTTAAGGCAAGCAGTCTTTGTAAATAAAGTGCCCAATATTAAGAAATAGGGCATTAATATCAAAGAAAGGAAATCAAATATTCACCTTATCTTCTAGACTTAGAATTTCTGGAGAAATTAAATTCAATATCTAACCCCCAGACGAGCGGATACCATTTTTGCGTAACTGTGAGTCGGGAAGATTATTTGAACATCTAATTTTATTTGAACATCTATATTTATATTTTATATATATATATATATATATATATATATTGCATGTTAGTGCCCGTTGACAGATGTGAGCCTATTTATATTCCAGTGCCTTTAAACATAAGAGAAATGGAATGCGTACGTATGCGCGTGTGTGTAACCTACAATGACGTTTATTGAAGCCCGAGTTCACGTTTTAGTACTTTGTATTCTCGTGGGATTTCTCGTTGTGGTTTACTTCAAGATTAAATCTCATGTTTAATCACCGCTCCAATGACATTGGTTATATGAGATTTGCCCTGAGAATTACAGTTGCGCTGAAAGGAAACTCTGGACGCTTGAAGTCAGTTTACTGAAGTGTTGAGATACTTTTAGAAATATCCGAATTGCTCCGTAATCTTAGACGCGGGTTGAATATCATTTTTCTTTTCTTTTAAATTAAATAATACTAGCAAGGTAAGATGATTTTGCCCGGGATAGTGATACCATCTGTATACAACCGTTTTCTCAGATCAGTTATTAGAAATGGTTTCAAACGGATAAATCG